TTTTTAAAAAAAATATTTTTTTTTATGCGAATGTATACATGTATACTATGTATATGTAATACCTATGGAGGCCAGAAGAAGGCATTGGATCCCCTGGCTTTAGTTACAGATGGTTGTTAGCTGCCATGTGAGTGATAGGAACCAAACCCTAGTCCTCTGCAAGAGCAGCTAGTGCTTTTAACTACTGAGCCATCTCTCCAGTGCCTCTTCCTATTCTTCCTATGGCAACCCATGCCATTTTTGGCTGAGGGTCTTTGTAATTTCTTGTCCTACTAGTGACTCTTCTTTTTATGACTAAGTCTTTACATCCTTCAGGTCTTAATTGTTAGCTGACCATTCTATGTAAAATAGTTCTCGCTGTTATAACACAATGTCACAAGCTATTCCACTTATTTGTTTGTGGTCTCTCTCCGCCCTCAAGTATAAATTCTACAAGGACAAGGACTATGTATATGCTTTTTTATTTCTACTTAGTAAAATGTCTGGCACATAGTAGGATAAATGCTTATTAAGTGAACATGTGATCTGATGATCACCTTGTACCACACAGTTTGCTGAGAACTGTGTTAGATGATCCTTCTGTGGAGTCAGGTGTCCACAGAAGGGTCAGTGGGGACACCTGGCAAACTTAATAACTTGGTCAGCTCTCCTGCTTCATAGAAGACAACTCTTCCAGTGTCAGGTATGTTAGCACATGCCTGTAATCTCAACACTTGGTAGATGGAGGTAGGGTCAGGGAGTGCATGCTCATCCTTGCCTACATAGTAATTTTGAGGCCAGCCTGCACTACATGTGACTCTATTTCAAAAAGCAAAAACAGTCGGGGCTGGAGAGATGGCTTAGCAGTTAAGAATACTGGCTGTTCTTGTAGAGGACCTAGGTTCAGTTTTCAGTACCCACATGACAGCTGATAATCATGAAACTCCAGTTCCTCTTCTGATCTACTCGAGTATTGCATGGCATGGTGCACTGACATACATGTAGGCAAAACACTCATACACATAAAAATAAAGAAATATAAAAATTTGAAAGTAAACCAGCACACACACACACACGCACACACACACACAACCCCAACAATAACAAAAAGAATATCCTGAATCTGACATTGTGATATCTTGGCCAGTAGTGTTATCTGTGTCCTTTTGCTTTCATGATCAGAGTGTTCTTTTCTTATAACATACCTTATGACATTCTCTTTTATTTACTCGTTGCTAAGTGTCTGTTGTGTGCCAAGAACCACCTTAAATTAAAAAATTAATGACAAGCAAAGTAAGAAAATGTGCTTTGATAGGATTTCTACTCTAGGGAAGATGGATCCCAAGGCAGGAGCCACATATTTGGTGCCTACTTGGGCCAAGCACTGTTGTTTTTAAAAATATTTTATTTATTATTTTAATTTTAGGTGTATGTCTGTAAGTGCACCTGTGTTGTACAATGCTCATGGAGGTCAGAAGAGGGTTCGGATCCCCTGGAACTGGAGTTAAGGATGGTTGTTAGCTGTCATGTGGGTACTGGGACTTGAACCTGGGTTCTCTTCAAGAGCAACCAGTGTTCTTAATTGCTGAGCCATTTCTCCAGTCCCTGTGTTTTACATGTACAAATTAACATAATCTTTACAACAAAAAAACTTGTATAGGCACTATAGAGATTAAATGATGTGCCAAAAATCACAGATGATAGTGGGCCAAGCTTATCTACTCTTTCCATTCCCTGTGTCTTTGTGTCACAAACAGATGATAGATTGGAAAGAAAGTGTTAGGGTTCTATGAAGAATTTGAGAGACCTGGCTTTATAAGAGGTAAAAGGAGTTGCCTTGTCTAGCAAGCTGAAGAATTCTATGTAGAAGGGACATGGGACATAGTGCTTGAAGGTTCTGAGGTCAGAAGACACTTCAGTGGAGGGTTTGAAAGTGGGCCCATGTGACCACTGTGCAGCTTACCGGAAGACTGGTAGCTGGAGAAGCAGGCTGTATTGAGGATTTCAGGGTTTTTTTCCCCTGAGTGGCAGAAACACTGTGAAGAACATACAAGAGAAGACTTGGGGTCAGGAAAGGCCCTGTTAGAGGTTAGGCTGAGTAAGAGTGGCAGTCACTAGAGAGGAGCCTGAAAATGGTAACGGACCCCTCCTGGATTGAAAAGGCAGGTGAGGGAAAGGGGAAGGAAGCTGAGATCCCTCAGTTTTGGGGCATAAGTGGGAGTCCAGTATGGACTTGTTCATTGTGAGTCTTGTTTATAAAACTTGAATGGTTAAAAAAGACAGTTGGACATACGAGTTTGGACTTAGATGGGGGTGTCTGTTCTGGAGTTGTGAGAAATGGATAGAATGTGATGTCCTGGAGCAGATGGACTGGGCTGAGGGTCATTGAAAGGAAGGGCCTCCTGAGTTTGGCTTGGCTTCCAGCTCTTTCTGAACGTTCCTTGCTTTTAAGCCAGATTCTCCAATCCTGGCCACTCTGCAGTCCTCAGACTTCCAGACTGTAGTGTTCTTCCTGGTCCTCTCCAGTTTACAAACTTCCTTTATTCTTCAAAAATTAGACCTTATAGGCCTTATATATTTAATAGAATTAATTAATTGGGGGGCACAATAAGGAGAGATGTGGATTGGGAAATCTAAATACCATAAATTAGCTGGGCATGGTGGCGCATGCCTTTAATCCCAGAGGCAGGCGAATCTCTGTGAGTTCAAGTCCAGTCTGGTCTCCGTAGTGAATCAAGGCCAGCTGTAACTACAGGGAAACCCTCTCTCAAAACAAAACAAAACAAAAAAAACCCCTCAAACCGTAAGTTATATGAAAATCACAAAAATTCAATTAAAAAAATATTTAGTGGAAAGCTCGATCTGGTGGTGCACCCCTTTAATCCCAGGACTCAGGAGGCAGAGGCAGGTGAATCTCAAGGCCAGCCTGGCCCTATAACCTTTTATATAACAAGTTCTAGGGCTGCATAATGAGACTTTGTCTCCAGAAAAAAAAGTATCGCTCATTAGGTGATACCCTTCCTGACAAGTCTCTTTTTTGTGCTACCATGGTGTTCAACATCTCTCTTCTTTTCCTAGCACACCCCATATTTTGGCCATGCTTGTGTAGCAGTCATTTTTCTAAATAGTTATATAGTGTCTCTGCTATCTGCCTTCATGTGGGTGCTTGCTCTTCCCAAAATACCATTCCTTTCACCTGCCTGGTAGGCGTCTATCCACTTCTCTGGATTAGCTCTCATGTCACTACTTCGTTAGTTCATCAGATATGCACTGAACACCAGCATCAGGCAGTAGATTAAAGGCTGAAATTACCCTGATTCTTCTCACAGTCCAGCAATGAAGAAGACACTCAAAACAGTGCAATAAGATTGCAACCAATAGGGGCTGGAAAGATGGCTCAGCAGTTAAGAGCACTGGCTGCTCTTGCGGAGCACCTGGATTCAATTCTCAGCACTTACACGGCAACTATATATTACGTGTTACATGTCTGTAACTCCAATTCCACGGTATCTGACACCCTCTTCTGATCTCCATGGGCATTGCATGACATAGATGCACTTACGTACATGAAGGCAATACACTCTTACACATAAAATAAAAATAATAAAATATTTTTTAAAAAGATTGCAACCAGGGGCTGGAGAGATGGCTCAGCGGTTAAGAACACTGGTTGTTCTTGCAGAAGACCCGGGTTCGAATCCCAGCACCCACATGGTAGCTAACAACTGTCCGTAACTCCAGTTCCAGGGGATCCGATGGCCTCTTCTGTCTTCGCGGGCATTGCACAACACAGGTATACTTACCTACATGCAGGCAATACACTCATACACATAAAAATAATAAAATATTTTTTTTAAAAAGATTGCAATCAATGGGGTAGGAAGGGGTCCCAGATAGTGAAGGAGAACCTGCAAGAGAGTTTGTACCAGGGATCATTGGGTCAGGCGTCCCAGGCAGGTAGAAAAGCAAAGCCAAAAAGCTCAAAAAACATGCAAGTACTTCAAAGTGTTGGTCATTGAACAGAGTATAAAAGACAAGTCAGCTTCATGGGGGAGAAGATCCTGGGTTAAATATGGAAAGAAAATGTTTGGGGGCAACGAGGGGCTGTCAGTAGTAAGAATACGTTGTGTGTGAGGTCTTGAGTTCCCAGCACCTTGAAGAACAATTCTGGAGGTTTTCTGGTGTTTTTGGAGGTCCTCAGAAGGTACTTGTAAATGTAGCCCTAGATTCTCATGAAAAAAGCTGTTTTGGAGATGGGTTTGGAAATTGTTGGCATATGGATGGCTGGTAGCTTGGGCAAGGATGGACAAATGCATAGGCATGCTGTGGGAAGAAAGGGCTAAGGGTTGGTTCCTGGGACATTGGTGTTTAAAGGGTGACACAAGAGCCAAGACTCAGAGAGGCCACAGCAGGTTGCAGAAGGAATAGAACTACTCATGACACCTGTTTCCTGAATTTCATGATCAAAGAGTGAAGGCTTCTGTGTTTGTTTTTGTCTTCTTTTCCTTCCCTCTCTCCTTCCCTCCCTCCTTCCCTCCCCCTCCCCCCTCCCCCTCCCTCTCTCCTCCCTCTCCCTCTCCTTCTTTCTCTCCATCTCCTCATCTTCCTCATCTTCCTCCACACATTTTGTTGCACAGGAGACTTTAGCACTATCCATATGTCAGAGAATCCTTATTTTCTTGTCTAAAAGGGCCAATAACATCCAGTGATATGTGGCATATTGTTTTGTTTTATTGAAAAATCTATGCTAC